TGAGCCCACGGGTTCGAGACCAGCCCAGGCAACTTGGCGAGACCTCGTCTCTACAATAAGTCAAAAATTAGCCAGGTGTGGTAGCACGCGCCTGTAGTTCCGGCTACTTGAAAGGCTACTTGAGGCGGAAGGATCTCCAGAGCCCAGCAATTCGAGGCTGTGGTGGCCATGAGCGTGCCACTGCACTCCAGCCTGGACAATAGAGTGAGACTCCAACTAAAAAAAATAAATAAATAATAATAATAATAATAGCCAGGTGTGGTGGCTCAAGCCTATAATCCTAGCACTTTGGAAGGCCAAGGGGAGAGGACTACCTGAGCCCAGGGTTCAAGACCAGCCTGGACAACTTGGCGAGACCTTGTCTCTACAATAAATCAAAAAATTAACTGGGCATGGTGGCAAGTGCTTGTAGTTCCAGCTACTTGGAAGGCTGAGGCAGTAGAATTGCCTGAGCCCAGCAGGTCAAGGCTGCGGTGGCCGTGAGCATGCCACTGCACTCCAGCCTGGGCGACAGAGTGAGACTCCAACTCAAAAAAATAAAAATAACAAATAATGTTTTTCCCTATTCTTCAGCCTCACTCTAAACCACCGATGCTAGATTTCTGGCATCTCCAGCAGTAGGCTGGGGAGTCTGACTAGTTTCAACAAACTCTCCAGGTGAGAACTGTATCCCACAGTACCCTTATGGGAGAAGGCGGAAGATAAGGATGTACAAAGTTTGAAAATGCTCAGCCTCTAAACACCAGGTCACCATGCACAGGTGTGCAGCTTGGGCATCACCACATCTAAAGGGGCCCTTCTATGTGGAAGACTTCATTTATCATGACAATTTTGGGGCAGATGACTTGAGGCATTACATTTCAACATAATTAGCACATTACAAATTGATGGAACAACTGCAAAGTGATGGAACCTTTTCCAAATCTGCACCAAGGTGGTGCATGGGTCAGTGCCAGTCTGGGTTGCAGTCCCCTCCCCCACGTCATTGTCACAGCATCAGAGGTCCCTGCCTACACATCTCCTAGGACTTGAGCTTGACCTTGAGGCCACTACTTCCTGAAGGCAGGGGGCAGAGATGCGGCCCTCAACCCAGGGAGGATCCTGGGGGTCCCGGGAGCTTGGCCACTCACCTCTCCACACTGTTGTGGTGGATGCAGCCGTGGGAGCCCCCGACTGCGTAGATGTGCCCGTCGATGACGCCCACGCCGATGCGGTTGCGCGGCACGCTCATGGGGGCGCAGGGCGACCACTGGTTGGTCATGGGGTTGTAGCAGTCCAGGGCGCTGGAGTCGGTGTTGCCATCGGGCGAGTTGTTGCGGCCGCCTACGGCATAGAGCAGCCCGCCCACCACGCAGCCCGCCAGGCCGCTGCGGGGCACCTGCAGGTCGGCCAGGCGCAGCCAGGAGCCGTCGCTGGGGTCGTAGGCCTCCAGGTAGCTGAGCGACTGGCGGAAGTAGCCGCCCGCCGTGTAGATGAGCCGGCCCACCTTGGGCGCGCGGCAGGGCCGCACCTGCGTGGGCTTGTGCAGCGTGAGCTCCTGGAAGACCTGTGCCAGGTAGTCCTTGCAGCGCGCGTCCGACTGCAAGATCTCGCACTTCTGCAGCTGCAGCTGCAGGAAGCGCGGGCTCAGCGAGTGGCAGCGCACTGCCCGCAGCAGCGCCTGCACGTAGAAGCGCCGCTGCGCGCAGTCGTACTTGACCCAGTCGATGCACGCGTGGAACACCTCGGACTCACAGCGCACGTTCAGGTCGTCCCGGCTGATCAGGGTCACCAGCTGGCAGTGTGACAGGTTGAAGAACTCTTCCTGCTTGGCTACCTGCAGGGGCCACGGCAGGACGGGCTGAGCCTGCGTCGCCCCTGCCCCATGCCGCCCCGCCCCACCCCGCAGGGGACCCTGGGCACGTTAGGCATCCGGCCTCAGCTTTCTGGGCTGTGAAGTAGGGATTCCAGGTCGGGGGCGGTGGCTCACGCCTGTCATCCCAGCACTATGGGAGGCGGAGAGGGGAGGATCGCCTGAGCCCATGGGTTCGAGACCAACCTGGGCAACTTGGTGAGACTTCATCTACATTAAAAAATTAGCCAGGTGTGGTTGTGCACGCCTCTGGTTCCAGCTACTTGGAAGGCTGAGGCAGAAGGATTGCCTAAGCCCAGTCACTGCACTCCAGTCTGGGCGACAGAGTGAGACTCCAACTCAAAAAAAAAAGAGCCGGGCTCGGTGGTTCAGTCTGTAATCCCGCCCCGCCTTTGGGGGCGCTGAGGTGAGTGGACTGCCTGAGCCCGCGGGTTCGAGACCCACCTGGGCAACTTGGCGAGACCTCATCTCTATAATAAATCAAAAAGTCAGCCGGGTGTCGTAGCGCGTACCTGTAGTTCCAGCTATGTGGAAGGCTGAGGCAGAAGGATCGCCAGAGCCCAGCAGGTCAAGCCCACTGCACTCCAGTCTGGGCGACAGAGTGAGACTCCAACTCAAAAAAAAAAAAATTAGCCAGGAATGGGAGCGCGCACCTGTAGTTCCAGCTACTTGGAAGGCTGAGGCAGAAGGATCGCCGGAGCCCAGCAGGTTGAGGCTGCGGTGGCCGGGAGCGGCCACTGCACTCCATCTGGGTGACGGAGTGAGAAGCCAACTCAAAAAAAAAAAAAAAAAAAAAGAAAAAGTATATTGTCTTTTTGCCCATTTACCTGAGTACTACTGCCTGCTGGCATACAGTATTAACTCATTTAATCCTCACAATTGTTGAGGTTCCTACTATTGAAATCCCATTTCTTTTTTTTCTTGAATTTTGATCTGTTACAACAAGCACATGCAATCCTGAGAAAGAAGCACTGTGCAGGCCAGCCAGTGAGAGAGACCTACTCGCTGGGCCCCTTTCCTGGAAGCCACAGGACCTAGGACTGATGCTGGTGTGCCTTGGGGCATCTGGTCAACCCTACATGTATCAGCAAGAAGAGAGAAGCTGTCCCAGATGGAGAGCAACAGGACCAGGGCAGTGTCCACCCTTACAGGTCCCAGCCACAAGAGGACTTTGAACCTTTCCAGGAAGGATGGGGCATGGGTACTCCCGCCTGTCATCCCAGCACATTGGGGGCTGAGGTGGGAGAATGGCTGGAGGTCAGCAGTCTGAGATTAGCCTGGGCAACATAGCAAGTCTCAAAAAAAAAAATTAATTTTTAAAAAGTTTTCAGCAAGGTACGCCAAGGTACAGGACTCCCCAAGGCTTGGGCCCTGGGGCACCACCCTGCTTGCCTGGGCTAAAAGTGGTACCACCTCACAGGATGGCTGAGGACAGTCAAGATTTAACAGATGTGAATCACAACAGAGTCTAGTGCATGGCAGGTACTCAATGAACACTTTCTTTCAGCTTTTTTTTTGCGTCAGTGTCTCACTTTGTCGCCCAGACTGGAGTGCAGTGGCACACTCATGGCCACTGCAGCCTGGACCTGATGGGTTCAGATGATCCTTTTGTCTCAGTCTTACAAGCAGCTGGAACCACAGGCCACCACGCCCAGCTAATTTTTTTATTTATGTAGAGATGAGGTCTCACCAAGTTGCCCAGGCTGGTCTTGAACCCCTGGGCCTCCAAAGTGCTGGGATTACAGGCATGAGTCACCGCTCCTGGCCCACTTTATTCTTTTTAGTGAGTAGAGGTCTCACTTTGTAACACAGGCTGAAGTGCAGTGGCATGACCACAGCTCACTAGGGCCTTGAACTCCTGGGTTCAAGTGATCCTCTTACCTTGGCCTCCCAAAGTGCTAGGATTGCAGGCCACTGCACTTAGCCTTCCAGTTATCTTTTCTAGCTTATTTTGTTGCACTAAAGTACACATAGCATAAAGCTGACCATCTTCTTTTTTTTTTGAGTTGGAGTGTCACTCTGTCGCCCAGGCTGGAGTACCATGACATGCTAACGGCCACCACAACCTTGATCTGCTGGGCTCAGGCTATTCTTCCGCCTCTGCCTTCCAAGTAGCTAGAACCAAGTTGCCCAGGCTAGTCTCAAACCCCTGGGCTCAAGCAGACCTCTCACCTCGACCTCCCAAAGTGCTGGGATTACAGGCAATGAGCCACCACGCCCAGCATTATGTTTTGTTTGTTTGTTTTAATTTCAAGTTTTGTGGAGACAGGGTCTGCAACTTTGCACAGGCTGGTCTCAACTTATGGCCTCAAGTGATCCTCCTGCGTTGGCCTCTCAAAGTGCTGAATACTTTACTATTCTCATCATCTTAAGGGTGCAACCTCTAGTTGTTTCACCAAAAAATTATGACTGATTGTTATGATTTTCTTAAGAACCCATGTTATTTTCTGTTGAGAACTTCTTCCACTGAGAAACGAAAATGAAACCAAAAACAGCAGAAGGACACCGCATGGACCAAAGAAAACACAGCTGAGGGTCAGACTTGAAGCTGGTAGCCTGCCACATGTCCAAGAAATATTTGCTAACTGCCTGGGGATGCTCAGCAAACCCCAGGGCCTGGCCGGGAGTCCAAAGACCCATGAAGACCTCACTTTCCCAGCTGCTCCACAAGAGTCTACCCAGATGTGTGGATGGGGAGCTTAGAACCCCGTTTCTGTCCAGCTCCCTGCCTTACCCTTTTTTTTTTTTTTTTTTTTTAAGCCTTTTTTTTAAGAGGCTGGGCACAGTGGCTCACACATAATCCCCGCATTTTGGGAGACTGCAGAAAGAAGATTGCTTGAGGACAAGAGGTTGAGACCTGCCTGGGCAACATAGCAAGAGCTTATCTCTACAAAAAATAAATGCTTAAATTAACCAGGCGTGGTGGTATGGTGGCTCACATCTATAATCCCAGCACTTTGGAAGGCTGAGGTGAGAGGATTGCCTGAGCCCACAGGTTCAAGCCTGGGCAACTTGGCAAGACCTCATCTTTACAATAAACCAAAGAGTTAGCCAGGCATGGTGGCAAATGCCTGTACTGTAGTTCCAGCTACTTGGAAGACTGAGGCAGAAGGATTTCCTGAGCCCAGCAGGTCGAGGCTGTGGTGGCTGGGAACAGTGTGCCATTGCACTTCAGTTTGGGCAAAAGAGTGAGACTCCAACTCAAAATAATTAATTAGTTAGTTAATTAATTAATTAACTAACCAGGCATGGTGGCATGTGTCTGTAGTCCCAGTTACTTGGGAGTCTGAGGCAGGAGGACTGCTTGAGTCCAGGAGGTAGACACTGCAGTTGGGTCATGCCTCAGTCACTGCACTCCAGTCTGGGAGACAGGGAGACCATGTCTCTTAAAAAAATTGCAGACCGCCGGGCTCGGTGGCTCAGCGGCTCAGCCTGTAATCCCAGGCCTTGGGAGGCCAAGGTGAGTGGATTGCCTGAGCCCGCGGGTTCAAGACCCACCTGGGCAAC